CGACGGACAGCCTTGCGAGTAGCAGCTCCAAATTCTGTAGCCCGAATACCTTATAGGTACTCACTAAACTTATTACTGAAATAAGACCTGACATGGCGCATTTGAAAAATATGCCTGCTTCTCGCCCGAATCTAATGGCACGTCTCAATGACGCCAATAATGCTGATAAGCGAAACATAGCTATTCAACGTCGTTTAGCAAATAATCCCCCGTTGGTTGAAATAAATAATTAAACAAGGATATGTGCAGCTTGAAACAGATCAATTGTTCGTGAATTGCGTACTCTTCAAGAAAATCCCGGGAGTATGCGGTTAAAGGTTCTGACACAAACTGCGAATCAGACCTGTATGATTTGTGACTCGCCAAATGCACATCGCTTATCCATTGACTCGAGGGTTGATATTTTCATAAAATCTAATATTTTTATTCCTCGTGAGACAAAATGCTGTAATTTACATTAAGGCGACGTTCCGTAAGTTAATCAAAATTGCCGGTCGGTATGAAGCGTATCGTCTATGGTAACAGTCTGGTTCCTGGAAATGCGGTTTATGTGTGGAACGCTTCGGTTCAGCTTTAGTTTGGCTTGGATGCTAGATGTTAGAATATTATCCTTTTAAAAACGTATTTGTAATAAGCAATCGTCAGGAATGAATGTAACATTTACCTCTTCCATTTTTGCCGCAAATACACTTCGAAAGCGGAAGAAAAATAAAAAAATTGAAAAATTATCACCTAACCTAACAAATAAATGTCAGAAATTGAAAACAAACCGAAACAACCAAGCTTTTTGATCGGTAAATTCGGTTGACAGTTGGGACCGAGGAACCGCGTATTAAAACCTAACCAGATTTCAGGAGTGGTTAGGTTAAAGAACGGAAACCGGAAAAACCAAGAATCTTAGTTAACTTACGAAACGTCGCCTTAAGGAGCGCGCCCACTGGGCCCGCACAGCCCGGCACAGCACGGCCAGCGCGGCCGGCATTTCCGCAGCCACCGCCCATTGCTTCGGCATGATCAGACCCAAATTGCGTTTAAAACAACTTTGACTATCGAAGTGGTAGGTTCGTGAATAAAAAAGACACTTCTCCAAAAGCATTTTTTTATGAGTAGTATCGTGGTAATATTTTTCATTGGGTTCATACAACAGTGCATGTGCCCAAACGCTTTCAATCAAAATTTCATTGGACATGATGGAACAAATAAAATGAAATAAAACAATCCAATGCTTCTATGGTCGCAGACACGCGGACCGACCGGCAGTTTTTGCCCTATCGAGAATACAAGTCGTCGCCGGGCTGAGCGTGCTGCGCCGAGCTGAGCGATTCCGATTCAGTGGGCGATACTCTATTTGTTTACGAACATATCAAAATCTGCCGGCCGCGCTGGCCGTGCTGTGCCGGGCTGTGCGGGCCCAGTGGGCGCGCTCCTTTAGACGACACTGGTAGTCTGTTTTAACGATTATTGCCAGGTCTGCAATCCGTAAATCGCCCCTGATGGTTTGAAAATTGTTAATGAAAACGACATTTCTCCGTTAAGTAAAAACCAGTTTCAGGAACTGTACACTTTTTGCGATCCTGTACCTACAGGTAGTACTTTTCGGTATGTAACGAAAAAGGATCTTTTAGCATTTCTTTGCAAGTTAGGAAGGACAAGGCCTTTCAGATAAGTTTACAAAAGCAAGTTTTGGCTACAGCAGCCAGCGAAATGTTAGTATGATCATGGCAACTGTGAGAGAATCATTGCTACAGAGATTCGACCCCGCTATATTGGTTTTCAGTCCATCACCCGCAATGATTTCATATCCAATCATGTTCCAGAGTTTGCGAACATTTTATATAACGACAACCCTGCTGTTCCTAAGGTTCTTGCTTTTGTCGATGGTACTTATTTCCACTTACCATCAAAAAGCAACTTTCGTGTGTTACGACAGACCTTCTCAGTACATAAAGGACGGCACCTAGTGGAACCAGCGTTGCTGCTGATAGTTTAATATTAGCAATTCAGGGTCCATATTTTGCGGATTCACGCCATAATAATGCGGCTATGTTGCGCAATGAGCTGGACCGTGATGCCCAAGTTATGCGTAACTGGTTTCAGGATGGGAACATTCTTGTCATAGATCGGGGTTATAGGGATGCCGCTCCGGTACTGGAGACATTGGGGATTTGCCAGTACATACCTCATTTTATCGAACGGGGTCAACAGCAACTTACTACGGAAGATGCAAACGCCTTTCGGCTCGTAACCAAAACTCGCTGGATTGTTGAAGCCCGCAATGGACACATCAAATCCATTTGTAAGTTCTTTGAACTGCTGATTAACATTCCTCACGTAGAACATCTAGGTAATTAGTGTCGAATCGCGGGAGTAATTATCAACAGGTATTATCCATTGATTGGAATTACAGGATGCGACGCAGATATGGCGAATGCGATGCTTGCTAAGGCTACTGAGGTAAACGTAGTAATGGCGAAACTGGAGGAGTTTAGACTTCGGTACCCAAATGCGATGTGGAGGCGTATCGATGCGGGTGATTCAAATGACTTTCCTCGTTTGGGTTTACAATATTTGTGGAATATCACCTTTGGAGCCTATCAAATAAATCTTGCACCATCGTACATCCAGGACAAGCAACGACTTACAGGTATATTCACGATTCCGCAACGCAACCAAATACCAGTTACGGATTTCTTATACTGCTGTTGACAACGAAGAGCAAGGTCCTGAAAATGCTGGAGAAGCAGACGTTCATGAAGAAAACATTTATGGAGAAAACGTGAACGAAGAACAAGTCGTCGAAGAAGGCGCTCCTGACGAAGTCGGGTTCGATGATGCAGAGGTTCCAGCAGAGGATTTAATTCTTGGGTTCTACTGTTTGTGTAAATCGGTCGCAAGAACGTTGGGCTGTTGCAGCCATATTGCATCGACGCTGTGGTACTTGGGATGTGCACGGCATGAGCCAAATGTTCAATACCCTAAAGACAATTTACTCCATAGCTTACTTCATGCCAGAAATCGGCCATTATAATTACTAATTATTTTAGGCGTACATAAACAGTAAAACACATCGCAATATCATCGTCTTGCGGAGTGCCTAACCGTATTTTGAAATTCCACATAGGTCACTTTTCCATAAGAAATGTGCGGGGTCCTTTCTTGCAGATAATTTAAAATTATGATAATTGATTTTTTCTACTTGCGTGCGCAAAGTAATCACTTTGCATACTCATTTACGTGCGCAAAGTTGAACTTTGCGCACGGAAACTCTTTGCGCACTCATTTTTGTTACGCATAATTACCATAGTTATACTTGATTTTTCAATGTTTTGATGGTTTTTGAATAAACTAATATTCAAAATGAAGGGTTTTAGTTGAACTTTTAAGTTAGTTAACATTATGTTTTCTATCAAAGGTGTCCAAATTGGACCAGCCTGTACTGCTAGGAATTTGTGGAATTTTTGATATTTGGGAGACTCATGAAAATATTCTAGCTGGTATTCTAGGAATTCCAGAAGATGTTAAAAGATTTTTGAGGATTTAATTTAAAAAGACATTTTGAGGAATTCCAATAGATTTTAAACGATTTTTGCAGATTTTGATTTGATTGATTTTTCTAATATTTTAACAATTCAAAGTCTACTTTTTTAAGATACTAGTAGAAAAAATATTGTTCCTAACGCTTGCGCAAAGTGTCTTTCCCGCACTCAAAGCTTATCCGAACTCCGCTTCGCGTCGTTCGCCTAACTGCTTTTTCGTGCGGGAAAGTATCACTTTGCGCACTTGTTAGGAAAATGACTATTATATCATTTCTTTGGTTTAGGTTTTGAAAAAAAAAATTGACAAAATATTTTGTGATTTCAACCAACAGTTACACTTGCCTTTATGGTAGCCAACAAAGCGTATATTTTAATATTCAACCTCCCAATCTTGAAGAATATTTAGGAAATTAATAATTATAATAAAAACTTCTACAGTGTGTCTATGTTGAGGAGTTCCTTCTCGAGTAGGTATCAGGTAGATCAGGTAGATCATTGGTTACGTCCTTGTGCATGTGAAATGGCTAATCACGACATCTTTCGGGGAGTCATACTTTCTTTATGCCGGAAAATATCAATAGTTTGTGAAAATGTTATAATTATGTTTCTTTTACACATACCATTAACTTTGAAACTGATTAACTTATAAGAATGATAATTTTTTTCCACTAGGCGAAAAACTTTTCCATATAAAGGAAAAGAAGGAATTCATACGCAGATGTTAAGGTCAAATTCCTTGAAATAGGAAAGTTGCTCGCTTACCGAAAAAAAAAACTCATGTTTATAATTTACCAATTAGTTAAGTTATCTCGTATTATGTGTGAAAAAACATAAATACATATAACATTTTCACGAACTACTTAGAAATACCCCCATAGAAATCTACAAGTATCTAATTCACAGTGTAGTAGTAACTAGTATAACATTTTACTGTAGATATATACCTACCTATGTTAAATATACAGCGTGTCTTAATTAGAGGTTCATTTATTGATGAAGTTCAAAATAAAATTTTATTATTTTTTATTATTTCCTTTATTTAATAAACCAATACATACTCACATTTAGAACTTTAAACACTGCTTATTAACGAGTGAAAACTAAAGTCGGTTTATGGTAATTGTGATTAGAATAAGAAATGAGAGTTTCAAAGTTTAAAAAAAAACCTGATTTAATGTTGAAAAAAACACCATTGAACAATTAATTTTAAATAACTCATAGTAACTAAACACAAAATTATCCCAGACAAATCACAAGAGTTTATAGTTGCTGATATTGGTCAATCTTTGGTGGTATCATGTTACATGAGTAGTCTTTTAACAAACAAGCACAGCGTGATTAAGCCTAAATGATTCAATGTAAATTGTTTTGTCAGCCCTACCCCTGTACTCCTGTACTTACATGTTCCCCTACTGATCTTTTTGTAAAATTATTTTCATTAATTGTTGTTCATTTTCAAATACCCTCAATTCCATCCATTTCTTAACTTTCCAATTCAAACCTTTTTTCTTGTAAGTTCAGCTTCCTCTCTTGAAGTGCCAACTGTTTACATTGTAATGCATAGTATCGATCATTCTTTTTGCTTAGGTACTGTAAAGTACTTTGTTTAATGTAAGTATATGTTCTGTTTCGAACAGACGGTGCTAAAAAAAAATTATAATATAATAAGTGGTGGAAAAGAAAATTTTACATACATAAAATATTTCCTTGCGCCATCAAGCTTCTCAGTTTCCCCTAGCTCGACAACCTCCTCTTGAACTACATATACTAATATCACTCTGCCTTACTTCATTTTCTATCTCTATTTCAATTTCATCAGATACAGATACATTATTTTCAGTCTCTTTCACTGAGGTATGGTAAACATCGAATCTTCTATCAGATGTTGATGCTAAAGAAATAAAATATTATACGTCCCACGACGTTTTCCCCAAGTGATACCTTCGGAACGCGTTATCCAATATAATTTAAATTTTGAGGACCTGTATAATTTTTTTTGCCGCTTGTACATCTGTCATCCAATGTCACCACTTTCGCTTCAGTTTCGGTCAAGTAACGGCAACTTATTTAGAATCTTAAATGAAACTTATGTTATATTAGGCCATTTTTCCTTAGAAAATTCAATGACAAAAACGGCAATGCCATACCTATATTTGTTGACGCCTTGGTAAAGAAAATGATAAAAAATGACAAAGTGAAATATTCGATGAAGCGTTCCGAAGATATCACCTGGGTAAAACCTCGTGGGACACCCTGTAAAATGTAATATTTTCTACACAACTGAAAAACCTAGATTTAATTACAATTCACGAGTCAAAAGTGCCATTTTCACACATACAAATAATTACAACGCAACTCAGCACAGCAAAAAAGCACAAATGTGCTGAAAATAGCCCTATCAAGAACTGATGTGATACGTTAAAGGCACCAACAAGAAGTCTTATGAGAAATTTATTAAGTACCTTATTGCATCTTTACAACGAGTTCTTCCCTAGCCTCGAACCCCTTGTGAAATGATGTTTTATCGAGCAGTCGTTGTTGTACTACTTTACTCTTGCCCAATTCATTCATCAGTTCCAATTTTTGCTGCACCAAATCTTCTAGCTCTGTAACAATTTTTTTCAGTTCCAGACCTGAAAAGATTGTAAATTATAAGTGGAAAAATGTTCTAAGTGTTGTTACGGGATGATTTTTCCTGGGTTAAAATGAAAGGAAATAAGCGTATTCGCCTCAATGAATAGCATACCCTTGTCAAGCCACTGTTGTCTTTTCAATAGTTGTGGCCAAACTTTTCATTTTTCCCAGAATCATTAAGTTAGAGGTTTATTAATGGAATGGATTTTCTGTTAGTAGGGTTAAAATAAATAGATAATTAATTTATTAAAAAAACAAAATCAGAATATTTACACTAGAACAGCTGATTGTCTGATCGGAGTAGATTGTCTAGATTGACAGCGCTCCAAATAGGGTCAATGACTGGTACTAACTTAACTTGAATAAGTCCCATGCCCCAACTACCATCAATATTCCCCAGTACCTTCCACCTTGGAGTTTTGACAGAACCTTTTTAAAGGACATTGCAGGGACAAGCAGAGGTCATTCAGGTCGAGGACTTTCCACGATTAAGTGTTCGGGAAAACTCCTCAGGCACAAATTGCCGATTTCTGAGTTGCCAAGTTTCGCTCATAGATCTAGGGTGGCTAATCCGCTATTTTAGCACCCAATCGCCTTGTGCAGATTTTTTTGTGAGTCGAAAAAGAGCAACGTGGTCAATTGTTTGTTCCTAAAGGCCAAAAGTAATTTTGGTAAGTGGTTTTTCTTATTAATCTTCTCTGTGTTTCTCTATTTCCTATGTAAAAGCATAGTTTTCTGTTAATTATACGGTTAAATTCCGAATATCGGACATACCTACCTCTATTGCTCCACGCCCTGTCTCATAACGTCCATTTGTTTCAGGCCTTTAATCTTCAGTTTTAGACGTTACGTTTTAATCGTCACCTTTTATTCGTCACGCTTAGTCCTTAACTTGAGTAAAGAGTTAAACGTTGAGCTTACTGTGTGGTTCAAGTAGTACCTCCAATCTTCAGCCTCCTCTAGACCATTGGAAGCTTTAGTGACTCCTAATTACTGAACTTCAGTGCCCAGGGCCAGTGGCTTCTTGTTGCGGGCTCGATCCAGACCCAGGCCATCGGAAACACTGGAAGATATTGGTTCCATCCGTCAGGTTCCCCCAAGAGTTTAGGGACTACTCAGGTTTGATAAGTGTGTTGTATTGTCTTGATGTCAATCCTTGCCGGCCCCTTGTTGGAGTAAGTCACCACAACAACGCAGTTCTACTATATTAATATTATCCTTCAGATTAGAGGTTATTATTTCAGTTTTAATCAATTATATATCTCACCTTTACTATATGAAATTTACCATTCAGGTTGGGTATTGTTAGGTACTTCAATTTTATTAGGTATCTAGGTATTTATCCTACCTATATTGTTACATAATATTAAAGCCCTTCAGGTTACGTATTGTTACTTCAACTTTGATTAATGCTGCACTGAATACAGGTAAATACTTGTACACTGGGGTTAAATGGCCATTTACGAAGGTACTGCATTTAGTGAGCTTGTCTATTGATCATTTATATTTCAGGTATTATTGCTGTTGTACGGTACTCTTTACTTAGTTAATTTATTGTATTTACTATTTTTAGAGTATATAGGTTAGGTACTCCTAGTTTCTAGGCGATTTCTTTACTTCTTTGAACCTGTTCTAGAGTCAACCTGTTCTGGTTCTAATTCAAACCCGTACCTGATTGTAGCAAAGCGTTTCACTTTTGTCCCTTCTTCTTGTTTATATTTCAGGTTGAGCTGCTATAGTTCCGTAGAAGTTTCCTGCTTTCGTTATATCGGCTGATTTCGTGTACTGCAGGGAAAAAGCAGGTGGCGCTCTATATTTAGTTATTTAATTAACCCACCCCCTCTCCGCATTGGAAGCTAGTCGGCAACCCTTTACACGGAATCACGTTTCTAGATTTCAGCCACCAACCAACTCTCTCTCTTCTCTCTTTATTTCTCTGTTTTATTTACCCATTCACTTTACCCCTTCCTCAAATCTTATCATTAACTTCTCCCTTACGTTTTGCGGGTAACAAAGTGGCAGTGCCCGTTTTGCCACGTAACAAATTGGCGCCCAATAAATGGTATTTTTTTGGTTTATTTAAAAAAAAAAAAATTTTTTGGGATTTTGCGATATTTAATTTCTACCTTCGCCATTCTAGCAGGATTAGGGTAATTTCTTTTTCTTTCTCTATCTTCCTCACTATATGTAAATATTTTTTTTTCTTTTTCTTTTCACAACCCCTTGGTCGTTTCATTTTTTTCATTGTATTTTTGCTTTGCTACAGGTCGGGTTTCTTTTGGTTTTTTTTGTTAAAAGTACCTACCTATACTTTTAATTGGATTTACGAATTTCCTCTTGGCGTTTCGTTTTTTTTTATTGTTTTTTTTTCCCGTCAAGATGGAAATAAATCAGTTGGGTGCTGAGGAAGTCAAATATGAATTGGCTATTCGCGGGTTTCCTATTACTGGCACCTTTCCACAAAAACGAACTGCATTACGTGACGCTCTGCGCCGTGAGCGCGAGGGTCGGTCTTCGGCTCCAACAAATTCTTGCTTCGACAGCGACAGCGAACTTTGCATTTGTCAAGGCAAACTTGCAGCTATGGCGCGAGAAATCACAAACTTTGACCATGATAACGCAGACAGCGAATTTCGGAGAATTTTCACCCTGTTGAGCCACACCGACGCTCGTCTCGACAGGCTCCATTGTATTTCACACGATGAGCGAGAGACAAGGCGAGAACTTGCTGAAGGGTGCGCTGAGCTATTCAATCGGCTTGAGTTGGCCCGAAGTGGCACAGCCATTGATTCGCAGTCACGAGCTGACGTTCACCAGGAACACCAAAGCCTTCTTGACATCAACAATCCCCGGAAAAACCGTGTGTCTGAAGAGGTTGCCACGTCGCATGATTTGATTTCCTTTGATGACGAAAATCCCAACGCTTAGGAACTTCTCCGACAAACTACATCTTCAAGACTGAACATTGCGCCTTCAGTCGAGCCTCCTCCCAAAGTCATGTTAGACCCGTTGGTTGAATTTCCACCCCGCCGAATTATCCAGGCGCCTCGTTACACAAATTTCGATCAAACCTCCACAGCTGGAAATATTTCGAGACCACCTACCCGACTCACTCACAGTTCTTGTTTCTCAGCCACTGGTGCAAGCGAGCCTCGGTCTCGAGAAGTTGGAAATATTGGGCATTATGCTCCTGTCGAATCTAGGGTGCGCACCAACCGCAATTATTTGGGTCAGTATAGAGCATCTACTGCGGACGATCAACCTGACGTACCGCTCTACTATCGACAGTTTCTTAGTGATCAGCCTCCACCACAGTTGCGCTCCTCGTTTGTTAGGCAGCCGCCTCCTTCAGTTATTTCCAGAGTTGTCACCACTAATTCCCAACTTCCATCAGAACCGGTACCTACGTCAGAAAGGCAATCGCAGGTTCATTTTGAGGATGAGTACCCCGGTTTCTCCCGGCAGGTACATCTCAATTCCACCCGTCCGACTGAAACTTTAAGTCATTCGAATCCCGAGGTCGATTTTGCCGAAAGGTTGGAAAACTTTCAATTTTCCCCTTCTCGTGGTAGAAACTTCAGTCAGTCGTCGGTAACTCCCTACTACCATAAGTCGCAGAATGTGTCCTCTTGGGGTATCAAATATGACGGCCGCACAAGTGTGACCGATTTTCTCGAGCGTATCGAGGAACTTCGTGTTTCCCGAGGTGTGACGTCAGAGCATCTTCTCCGATCCGTTCCAGAACTTTTCACAGGAGACGCGCTTCTGTGGTACCGCACTGGTCGTTTTACTAGTTGGGAGGATCTCGTTCGTCAATTAAGGGATGCGTTCCAGCCCTTTGATTACGAATATGGACTTTGGGACGAAATTCACCGACGTACCCAGGGTGCTCAAGAGCGTGTCATTAGTTTCGTCGTGGCTATGGAAGCGCTTTTCCGTAAGCTGGCTACTCCTCCTTCGGAAGCGACAAAGCTTCAAGTAATGCGGCGTAACCTTCTTCCGCACATCCAGCGACGGTTGGCGACCGAGCAAGTCATCACTATGGCAGATTTGTGTCGACTCAGTCGAGCCATCGAGGAAACTGAAGCTCGAGTCCAACGATTTGTGCCTCCTCCAACAAATTACAGATCCTTGCTAGAGCCCGCTCTGGCCTATCATAAACCTTCGTCGAGCATTGCGGCTATTGATCATTCCCTTGTCCCAATTTCGGAACCCAGTAATGAAGTTGATCTTCTTGGAAGTTGCCAACCTGCCGAAAACCTGGTCGATTTGGCATTTGTACCCCACTCTGCTCCAGCAAAGTGTTGGAATTGCGACCAATCTGGTCACAGCTTTAGGCAGTGTTCTCTTCTTCGAAAGCTTCTCTGTTTCAAGTGCGGTCACAAAGATGTTACTACCCGAAACTGTCCTCGTTGCTCAAAAAACGTGTAACTGGGAGGGCTGCGAACAACTTGTCGTCCTCCATCCTCACAACGAAGGATCAAAATTCGACCAACCTTGCCATTTTGGACTATGTCTTGGCTCACGCAGAAGGTGATACGAGACCCTTTCTTCAGGTTTCCATATTTGGTCGTTCATTCATGGGCCTTCTCGATTCTGGCTGTTCTAGAATCATTTTGGGCGGTCCTGGTTGGAAGATTTTGAAATCACTCTGTTCCCCTAATACCGAGACTCAAGTGCAGTGTACGGTGGCGAATGGCCAACAATGCACATCTATTGGTTCAGTTCAGCTGCCATTCATCCTTCAGAACCGATTAGCATTCATGGATACCCTGGTCATTCCTTCGTTGCCGCACACTCTTATCCTTGAGTTGACTTTTGGGTCAGAATGGGAATAATTCCCAATCTTTATTCCGGTGAATGGTCTTTTAGAACCGACTCTCAAGCCGTCAACCAAATCATGTCTCTTCACTCTCTCAACACTCTTAGTTCCGAGCAAAGACTTAAACTTGACACTCTCTTGCGTGACACA